TATTGTGTAATTGTAGAGGGAGGGGGGGGGGGAGGAGGAGGAGGAGGAGGAGGAGGAGGAGGAGGAGGAGGAGGAGGAGGAGGAGGCCCGGGTGGGTTCGCCGAGGCTTCGCCCGGGGTGGCCGCTCGTGGCCGCCCCTCGCAGGTGCCCCGTGCGCAGGCCGAGGCCGCCGAGGCGTCGCCCCCTGTGGCCACCCGCGCGGGCGCCCACGCGGAGCCCGAGGTGGGAGTGGTGCCACATGGTTTGCACCCCTCGCGCGCGCGTGGATTTGGTGTTTTTTCCTTGCGCCCCAGAATTTTGAAACGCGCTGCATTTCGACGCGGTCGCGCGCGCAATTTCGTTTGACGGGGATGTTGGAAGGGGGCGGGGGGGCGTCGATGCAGGTCTGGCTGGGTTGGCATGGGATCAACTGCAAAATGAACGATGGGGCAGCATCGCGCGTAAACTGTGCCACCCCAGGAGGGCTCGATCAATCTGGATGGGGTCTGTTTTGTTGGGCTGATGCACACAGCTTGCGCGACACGCCGGCAGAGGGACCTCGTCACGCGATGCGGAGAGTCCCCCCCTCCCCACCGGATCCCCCTCCTCTTCATCCTCGTTGTACCAATCACTTCCTCCTCCTCCTCCTCCTCCTCCTCCTCCTCCTCCTCCTCCTCCTGATTCGCATCACGTGACGGCTCCAAATCGCCGAACATGTATTGCGCTGCAGAGACTGCACCACACAGACTGCATCCCATGGCGCTGACCTCATAGACCTGTGCAACGGCAGAGAGACTGTGCCACCCTCCCGCGCAGGGCTCGGCCAAGACAGTGTGTTTCGTTGTCGTGCTGCTTCGTTTTCCTTCGCTGTGCCTCCGACCCGCCTCTGCTGCAAAACGACGTCCAAACGAAAGCAGTCCTGGAAATCGCCCAAACGCCGGTTAGGTCGAGACCTGCTCCCGAGTCCAGACTCATCGGGCCACCCTGGGATACCTCGGATAACGCCATCTGCATATGGCTTTGTCTCGTTTCCTTATTTTTCCATGCGAGCCCATGCCACCTCGGGAAAGCCGGCATCGGTTCCGACCGTCACCCCCGTCAGATAATGCGGGACGGGAAAATGACCACAGCCACTGCTTCTTGTTTGCGCCGCCTTCCAGCCGGCCGAAAAAGAAGCAGTGGTTGTGGTCATTTCCCTGGTGCCAAGCTTAACGAAAATGACCACAGCCACTGCTTTGTTTCTGCTGGCTGGAAGGCGGCAACAAAAGAAAAGCAGTGGCTGTGGTCGTTTTCACGTCCCGTAGATAATACCATGCGCGCACACTTGTCTGTCGCATAATACCCTCGTACGAGAACCCCTTACGACATACAGCAGCAACAAAAAACCAACAAGGTCCGCACGCGCGCACGCACGGCGCGAAATCTCACCGGACCAGTGCTGCAAAAGCATTCCAGCATCAAAACGGATAGAGTGCATGTGCCTAAGATCTCCCGGGTTCTCTGCCCACGCGAACTGAAATCGGGGATGGACAGACCCCCCTTTAGCAAAACCTGGTTTAGTGAAAACGACCTGTGGCCCAAACCTGGCGGGCGCAAGCCTGGAAAATAACGGCCACGGCGCCTTTTCGAGAACCGAAAACGGACAATTCACTAATCGACGTGTCACTGTTGGGGGTTCTGTCCACCCCCGATGAAACCACCAAAAAAAAAAAAATCAGCGATCTCGCCCGGAAAGCTCGTCCTCATCTCACCACGCAGTGCACCCACGCTGGTCTATCATGCGCCACGTGCACGAAACCGTGTCAATAACACCATTCGGGCAACGGGCGTGCGCCGCCACCAAGCGTCCAAATCCGCCCAAAGCCATTGGGTGTAGAAGCACTTCAAAACAGAGCCCCCCGAGAGCATTGATTAGGCCAAAATGCTGTCAACAAAAAACCTGGCTGGGTTCTTGAACTTCTGTGCGCGCACACGTCCTCATCACCCTCATCAACGGCGCTTGGTCTACGCCGTTATCGTCACTGTCAATCGCTGCGATTGCCGCCCTCATCCGCCATCACCTCCGTCACCGACACATGGGCATCATCACCGTCATCGTGGTCATCTGCTTCGGTGCCGTCATTGGCCATGCCGTCGTCATCGTCATCTTCACAAATACTGTTGCTATTATCATGATCGTTGCCGCCGTTGCGACGTCGTCATGATGTCGCTCCCACTCGAATCACAGACCTGCACTGAAGCACCCGCGCGACCTCGTGGCCTTTGAGACGCACTGGGAAATTGCCATCGGTAAGAGCCAACATGGCCCGATCGCTTGTTCCAAGCCAACTGGTAGCTCTGCGCGCGAGCGCACGCGCGCCAGCGCGGACGTATAGAACCGCTGAGAAGTGCCAATCAGAAACCGCAATCGCGGCGGCATGGATTTTCCAAGCAAGTTGCGGGTAAGAGTGTGGAAAGTTTACGCGAGAGGTGCAGTGGTACAGACCTTGCGAAGAATAGCTTGCACAGCATAGGTTGCACAACACAGCCCGCACCACATGAATTGCGCAACGCAGCTTGCACAACACAAACTGCGTCTCATAGCTTGCACCACATAGGTTGTACCACAGAGCGTTCACCACATGTGCTGCATCACATAGCTTGAACCACAGGGTTTGCACCACGCAACATGCACCACAAGTATTGCAAGAAATGCCTTGCTTCACATACATTTGACCACGTCGATGGCACTACAGAGAACGCACCACAGGTATCCAGAATGCAATAGCACACTATTTCGGGCCCACGTCGACAAGAATTTAATTGCAACATTCGATGTGGATATTGATGTGAAATTCGAGTTTCATGTCGATGTACAATGTGTTTTGTGGTTCTATTCATTGTAGTAGTTACATGCTGGTTTACACATCGGTGTGCAGTACGGTTGTAGTTGGAATTGCCGTTCGATATGTCTTACCGATTTGCGATCCGATGTGCCTTCATATTAAGACGTCGAGTTGCACCTCAAGGTGCATTCAAAACTGCATCTGGACTTGCGATTCAATTCGCATACAAATCGCAATCGGGATGGCATCGCGATTGGCATTCCTCACGGGACTACGGGAACAACCGCGGGACAGCCAGTACGATAAGCACAGCCACTGGACAACGCACGGGACAATCCACGGGACTACCACGGGACATAGGACAACCACGAAAGAACCCACGGGGAAAACCATGGGACAGCCCGTGGGGCAACATGGGGCACCCTCGGAACCTACTATGGGACAACCCACGGGACACTCTCCAGAACCACTGTGGGATGTCCAAAGAATAACCCACGGCACAACCACGGGACCACCCAGGAATAGAATCCAAAAGACATGCCGCAGTACAATCACAGGACAACCCGCGGGGCAACCATCTGGGCAAACGCGGGAAAACCAACGGGACAATCCACGAGACAACCCACGGGACAACCATGAGGTAACCATTGGACAATCCACTGCACAAACGGGGATCACGCAGAGGGCTGGGCGGGCGGACGTTCAAACAGTTCGGCGGGCGCGGGGCCCCACCGGGCGGTTTGGGCGATTCGGGCGGGTGAGACAGCATGCTCCTGCACTCGACCCTTCTCCTGCTCTGCCTCGACCTGCTGCAGCTGAAGTCACAGGTCCTTCTGTTCGTCATGTCCCGCCTCCTCCTCCTCCTCCTCCCCCTCTTCCTCCTCCTCCTCCTCCTCCTCCTCCTCCTCGTCGTCGTTGCATCGCCCACCGACTCCCCCGTCCAATCCCCCCCATCCCCGCCCCATCCCATGCCCCGAGCCCTCTCCCTCCGGCTGATTGCTATACGTGGTCCTGTCCCCGCTTGGGCGTAGCCGAGCCTCTCCACACGCTTCCCAGTCAATCGATCCTCCTCCTCCGTCTCCTCCTCCTCCTCATCCTCCTCTTCCTCCTCCTCCTCCTCCCCTTCCCCCTCCCCCTCCCCCTCCCCCAGATCCCGCTTACCACACCATGGATCCACGAGCAGAGATGGGAGGGCGGAGTGGAAAGGGACGTGGGGAGGGAAGCGAAACTAGGACATCGGACAGTGATGCGAGCGCTGCCGGCTCGACGCTGCACGCAGTCATGCTGGATAGTGCTCTCGTCTCGCCGCCCCCCTGACCGCGGGCAGGGCATTGGCCCGCCGCTTCGCGCATGGTAGTTCACAGAGTTCGAGCTGATTTCGCTCGTGCTTTCCACCGAGAATGTATTCGGTGGTTCCGATTGGCACTTTCGCCTCGGCGCCTGCCAAATTCCTGCGCTCGATACTTACTCATCGTGAACCCTCTCGCCCCCAGTCGTGGGCAGACCGTTGGCACAAAAACTGCCCACGTCGTCTTGGACTTGCTGCGTGTGTGCGAGTTCACATCGGAAAGTCTCCGCTCGTTCCGAATGGCGACATCCCCACACCCCTGCGCCTACCCCACTCCTGTCCCTCTCTACACCTCCTCACTGAGTGATCCTTCCATCTCTCTCCACCACCCCCCACAGCTTTTTTGCGCACAAGGACTGCTAGACTGTGCGCTCAATCTCCGTACGAGCCGCTTCCTTGTGCATGAGACGAGGAGCCAAAACCCGATCCCACGCCCGAATGGCGAAGAGAAAACGATTCACCGCAACGGCAAGGGATGTGAGTGTGAGGGATAAGATGTTAGATGTGACGCGATCTCACCTACCCCGCACCTCTCCCTTCCCACCTATCCCCCCATCCATTCACCCCTTTCCCATCCCTATCAACCCTTCCCTCGTCCTCCCCCTGCTCAATCGCACACGTCTCAGATATATACAACGTCTCCAAGATGAACAGTGGCCGAGGGAATTGCCGAACAACCAAGAGGTCTCCTCGTAGTGTTGGTTCGGCGTTGTCGCTTCGTTTCGATATCGCACTGCGATGGGGTCCATTCCAGTCCACCCTCTCTCCTCTGCCCCTGTTTTCGTAATTCTTCACTCTCTCCATCTCCCCGTTCCTCATGGATTTCGATCCCCCTTCAAAGAACCCTCCTGCAGCAATTTGATCACCTTCTCCACGGGGTGATCCGCCGCGGACCGCGATGCGATACGCACTCTGGAAGCCGCCACCGCGCTGCCGAAGAGCGCCTCGGCAAAGGGGGGAAAAGCAGGAAAAGGGACGAGATGTGCGGAGGGAGCTCCTCAATCCCCTCCTCGCCCTTCGGGCTGGCCGAAACCCTGGAACTCCGGGGATCATCAGACAAAGATCACTCCCTCTCGTAGGCACCGCAGGGGCGCCACCGCCAGCCCCAGGGTCGAAGGAGCCAGGCCGACGGCGAACTCGAACTGAAACCACGTCGTGCAGAGGGATCCGGAAGACAAAGAAAGAGGCGTGGGCGGGCAAAGGGAGCAGGCGCACTGGGCAAGCGCCCCCGCAGTGGTTCGTGAACTGGGCTGGGAGCGTGTCTGTATCCACGGCATCGCGAGTCTTGCGATTTGGACACTTGGGCCGCGACCCATTGGATACAGGGCGGCTGCGCGGGGGATGCCCCGCGCGAAACGTATCCATGGGATCGCGTATGGCAGGTTCGTGCCGTGACGACCGCGGCGTTGGTTTCCGACACCGGATACCTCCTTGTGCCCAAGCCCTCAGTGTCAATTCAAAAGTGTTGTTCTATCCCTGTGGGAGGGGGGGGCGGCTTCAGATCGCTGGGTGGGTGGGTGGAGGGGGCGCATCAAATAGGGTTGCCCAAGAGTTATAACGTCTGGCTTGGTATGTCGTGTGGTTGTGACGCTCCTGCGAAGATCCGCGAGTCGGCGGAGCCATGCTGTCGTCTGGTTTACCCTCATCAGCGGGAGCACCTGGACCGCATCGAGGGAAGGAAGTGGCCCAAGCAGCTTGGGAAGGCTGAGCAACTTCGCCGCTCGTAGTTTCGTTTCGGCAACCACATGGGATTGCTCGAACCTCGAACCTCGAACCTCTTCCTCCTCCTCCTCCTCCTCCACTCAAATGTCCTCCGTTCCCCAATTCAGGGGCCGCGCACCGTTTTACCCGTGTTGACGGCACCCATGGGCAATGCACAAGGCCACAATGACGTTGGTGAGGAACCAATGGTGACCGAAGAAGGGCTGCTTGTCGTCTTGACTGGTGGTAACAAGGCCCGACAAGTGCCATGGGGTATGAGCTTTGACCCACGCCTGCCAAGCGATCTCTTCTACGCCCCTGTATAGAATGATCTTGGCGGTCGGCCCAACCAAAGGAAGCTGCGGGTACCGCGAGGCAAATGAGAAGCAGGGGGGACGAGTGAGGGGTGTGCCGAATCGGGTGCGGGTGCGCCATGCGGACCCTGCCGCGGGGGCCTCGAAGGGTGTGCTGAATCGGGTGGGGGCGCGCAGTAAGGTGTGATGAGATGAGGGCATATGCAGGGCAGAAGCAGGGATGGGAGGAGGGAGAGGGAGGAAGGAAGGAAGAAAGGCGGGGCACCGTCTGTTCAAAACGAGGACACACCACAGGATGGTCAGGCACAAACATACACACGTCTATACATGCCCATAGTTATGCATGCATATATACATACATGTATGCATACATGGATGCAAACATACATACGTATACGTACGCATAAACAGCTGTATAAAGACAAATACCATTGCATACAAACATAACTACACATGCATAGACACACATGTACATTCGCATACACCTATACATCTACACGTACATATAAGTACGCATATACCTATACACCTGCCTATACAAATACAAATACATATACGTATACATGTACATATACACGTAGATATGCATATACGCATGCATGCATACACATGCATACACATACATACATGCATGCATGCATACATATACATGCGCATACGTATACACACATACATACACACATGCATACGTGTACATGCACATGCATACAAACATACACCCATGCATGCATGCGTGAATGAATGCATGCGTGCGTACATGCATATGCCTATAAATGCATACATAAATGCATGAATGCATACATGAATGCATACATACCTACACTCATGCATACACATATATGTACATGCCTGTATACATGCATGTATGCATGCATGCATGCGCACCAACATGTATGCATATCTACATACGTACACTCATCCATACACACATACATGCGTACATGCGTACATGCATGCCTACGTATATACATACACATATACATACATACAAAAATGCATACAAGCACACATACATACACGCATACACGCATGTGTGCATGATTGCATACATGCATGCACACATACCTTCATGCATGCATGCATGCATTCGTGCACACCTGCATACTGTATATGTGTATGCATGCACACATGCATGCATGCATACATGCATATATGTATGCATGCATCCGTGCATACATACATACATATATATATACATACGTACGCACACACACACACATGCATACCATACTTACATACATACATGTTTACGTACATATTTACATAATGATCAGTATATGCATGTGTATATATGAGAGAGCGTGATCCACCGCCGCTTTACTGTGGAAAATTGCCAACCTTTTCCTCCGGAACCCGGGGGTCGCCCCCCCCCCCCCCTCCGAAAATCCCCCCCCCCCTTGCTGGAACCCCTCCCCCCCCCCCCCCCCTCCCCCGGCAAAACCCCCCCCCCCCTAACCCCTCCCCCCCCCCCCCCGAAGATCTTCCCGCTCGAAAACCGGGGGGGGTCACTACCGGTTCGAACCCCCCCCCCCTACCCTCCGGATCCGGAAAACTGGAGGGGGCCACTACCGGTTCGCACCCCCCCTTCCCCTTTCCCCCCCCCCCCTACTCACCGCCAGCAAACGACTCCCGGTCCCCACCACCGTCCGCATCACATCCCCCACTGGTGTTCCCAGCACCACTGTCCTCACCACCGCTGTCCCCACTGGTTCCACCACCGCCCCTACTGTCCCCACCAGTGGCCCCACCACTGTCGCACTGTCCCCGCTGTCCCCAGAACTGTTCCCACCACGGTTCCACTCTCCCCACTGTCTCCACGGCCCCAACCACTGCCCGACTATCCCCACTGTCCCCACTGTCCCACTGACTCCTCCGCTGTCCCACTGAGCTGTCCCACTGTTCCCACCACTGTCCCCACTGTCCCCACCACTGTCCCCACTGTACCTCTGTCCCATTGTCCCACCGCCGTCCTCGCCACCGCCTTCACCACTGTCCCCACCACCATTGTACCCTCCACTGTCCCACTGTTTCCACCTCATTCCCATTGTCCCCACACCACTGTCCCCACCACCACCGTCACCACCACTGTCCACTGTCCCCCCCTGTTCCCACCATTGTCCCCACCACTGTCCCCACCACTACCGTCCCCACCACTGTCCCACTGTCCCACTGTCCCCACCACTGTCCCGCTATCCCCTCACCACTGTCCCCACCAACACCGTCCCCACCACTGTCCGCACCCCCACTCGGTTTTCGAGGGGGGGGAGGGGGGGGGAACCGGTAGTGACCCCCCCCGGTTTTCCGGATCCGGAGGGGGGGGGGGGGGGTTCGAACCGGTAGTGACCCCCCCCCCTTTTCATGATGAGCTGGGGGGGGGGGGGGGAGGGGTTCGAACCGGTAGTGACCCCCCCCGGTTTTCCGGAGGGGGGGGGGGGAGGGGTTCGAACCGGTAGTGACCCCCCCCGGTTTTCCGCCAGCAGCGGTAGAACACGCTCTTTCGTATATATACATCTGCATGCATCGAGAACGTATGTCTGTGCTTGGGTCAGACAGTGCGTCCACTCAGGCTGCTCCACCGGCGCCAGGAGCATGTAACTGTTGAACAGACAGGTGATTTTGTATGGAGACATTGCGTTACTTCACGGCTGGTGGTTGACTTTGGGAACACATGCCTTCCTGGTTGATACGTGCAGCCCCTGTAAAGGGAAACTGGGACACACAAATACATACACACAAACAAAAAGATTTCCCATATGTTCCTATACTTTCTGGGTTTTTGTCTTCCCCACCACTTCCCATATTTTCCTATATTTTCCTGGGGATCGACGATTAATTGTGTCTGTGTGTTTTTTCCTCTCCTGACCCTGGGAACATCATGCATGCCGTCGTCCGTGCACGGCACGGCTGCGAGTGGTCGGGCGAGCAAGTCCCTGCGGGTGTCTGTGGCCCTGGTCTCGCGGCGCCTGCTCCACATGTTGCAGTCAACCCGCACAGTTATGGACGGGCAACCTTCCCAAGGGTACCCTTGCAGCCTTGCCTCCTCGGTGCACCCTTGGCCACTTTCGCTGGACGCGCCCCGCTCGAAAGCTTCGACATGGGTATCCAAGGGCCTTGCATCCTTATCGCGCATCCTTACTAAATGGGTTGACTGCATTTCCTTCGCTTCCTCCTCCTCCTCCTTGGCCACCGCCTGACCCTCTCCCCCGGGCCGGAACAGTGCTGTCCTCCACGCGCCCCGCCCCCCTCCCTTCGGTGACCCAACGCTGCGCTTTCTGCGCCAACGGCTCGCGATTTGGCATCGGGCCTCTTCGGAGGGTGATGAGGCACAAGGGAAAGGGAGAGATTGAAGGGGCCCTGGGACACACGAATAAATACACACAAAGACACCTATTGCCTATATTTTCCCATATTTTCCGGGTTTGGGTCTTCCCCCCCACTTCCCATATTTTCCTACATTTTCTCGGGGAATCGACGATTATTTGTGTCTGTGTGTTTGTTTCCCTCCTGAGAGATGGGGGAAGGAGGAGGAAGAAAGGAGGGAAGGCAGGAGCGCGGGGCGCCGTCTCTCCTCCTTCCCCTCCTCCTCATCCCCCGTCTCGTGCCCCCTACAGGCAGGTGTGGGTGCTCTTGTCCTCTTTCGGAAGCGCTCCAGACGCTACGAAGAATTGATGCCTCCGGGCCCCTCCAACACTGCGCGCTAGCCCCCCAACTGCGGCAGCAGCCATCCCCTTGGCCCTCGGGGGCAAGGGTATGCGCCAGCCGGGACCTATAGCCAGCGCTGCTAGGGAGGGCGGCGGACTTCGCGAGAATGACGCATGCCGCATCCCCCTGCTTCCGCCGTCAACGCTGCTCCTTCCCCCCCCCCCGTGCCCGTTGGACCTCACCTGGACCTCTCCTGGGGTGCGCTCTGGACCAGGTTTCGAAGCGAATGCAGCCGTTGCGACGACAGACGGGTATCGGTTATAGAGGCCTCTAGATGGGGTCCGAGTGGATGGGGTCGAAGGATCTCGCCGCATGGACGATCCATTGGCGATGCATCGGCGATGCATCGGCCATGCACTGGCGACGTCGGCGATGCATCGGCGGCATCGGCTTGGAGAAAATCGGGCCCCACATCGAGCCGCAGTGCCGATGCATCGCCGATGCATCGGCGATGCGGCGCGATCCCCAGACCCCATCTACTACGACCCAATCTAGGAGGCCTAGAGGTTATCGGTATGCTTCCCTCCGGCTTTCTTTCCCAAATTCCAGGACACGCACATTGTCGGCCGACTGAAACGAAGAACAGCGAATGGCTAATAATCTGTCGATGGAGCCTGTCGCGGGTTGGACCGTAACGGGAAGCGTGGACCAGAACGAGCAAGAAAAGGGGAAGAGAAGAGAACACATGGGACGAGAAGATGATCAAACAAGCCAGAGGCAACCGAACACAGAAGACGAGAGCAACGACGAACCACAAGGTCGATCGCAAAGGTGGGACTCAATTAAGGATGCACCTCTACGCGTCAAACTCCGCGCCGAAATAGGCTGGGCGAGAAAACAAATACGATAACATATGGCTATCTTCTCGTCGTGATATGGTTGACCGGGCGGAGACGCACAAGTGTGAACACAACCACCCGGCTACGTATAACCAAGCCTGGTATCCGTGCGCGCATGGCGTCAGCAGCGGGCCCCACACATCAGTTCAAGAATGCGTCCAAGCATGAATCGGCAGCGTGTCAGAAACCGCAGCAAAGAGCCGAAAACACCACAAACAGATCGGCCAGCATTGAGAAGAAGGGCTGGCCATCCCCTGCGAGCCCGATCCACGAGCGCCCCCGACTCGGCCGGAGCACGACACACCTCACGCACGTTTTTGGGCTCCACGGGCCCGAGCCCCAGAAGGGGCATGTCGTCCTCGCCTCTCCTCTGATAGGGGGCCAGATGCGAACCCTGCCCCTGCCCCCCACGATTCCTGAGGGGGAGGGTGGGGGCCACTTCGCTCGGGGGCTCCCGAGCGAAGTGAGCCCCACCCTCCCCGTCAAAAATCGTGGGGGGTAGGGGTAGGGTTCGCATGTGGCCCCCTATCTGACCCTTCCCCCCCCCCCCCTCCCCCCACGAGGGGCAACGTCAGAGGGGCAACGTCAGGAGCATCGTTTCTCCGACCCCCATCCCCAGCGGCGTGGCCCGGGCCCCACTGGCCGGCCTACCCCCCCTCAGATGGGGATGCAGGACGCTCCCTTCGGGCCTCGAGACGTGCGTCCCCAACTGTGAAGGGGCCCCGGGACACACGAATAAATACACACAAATAAAAAGATTCCCCATATGTTCTCATATGTTCTGGGTTTTGCCTTCCAACCCACTTCCCATATTTTCGCATATTTTCCTGGGAATCGACGATTAATTGTGTCTGTGTGTTTTTTCCCCTCCTGAAACTGGGGGGGCAGGAGAGCCCAGCATCGGATCGACAAGTCGGATCGGCAGTCGAAACGAATCGGATCGGCGGAAATCGGCAGTCGAATCGGGAAAAGTCGAATCGGCTGAAATGGGCAGGCTGGTATGCCTCCACTAAGAAATCGGAACCCAAATCGGAATCCCAATCCGAATCGAATCGGAGTCGGAAGCCACCGAAGTCGATTCGGATCGAATCGGAGGAATCGAAACGCGCCCTGGGGGGGGGGGCAATTTGGTGGGGGTCTCGAAGGGGATGGGGATGGGGATGGGGATCGGTGAAACGACACCGAGAACATCGAGCCTGCATCGGCGGTGCATCGCCGACAGCTCGGCGACAGGCCCACGACAGCGAGCCCAAGCGGCCATGGGCGGGGGGAGCCATCGGGCACCTGCCTGGGGATCAACGGGCGATTTCTGGGGCCGATGCACCTACCTCTGACGCTGTGTGCCCCCCGAAGCTGGGACGACGATAAAGTCGGGCGAGGAGGCGTCAGTCGAGAATCCCGGAGATCCGGCGGCTCTGAAGAAGGTGTCGGCCGCCACACCCTGCTCGGAGCGTTCCGGAGCGCTCTGAGAGCGTTCCAGGACGCTCTGGCCTAGTCCCGTCCGAGCTATGCCCCGAAAACGGTGCCTCTCCTCTCCCCCCCTCCTCACTCGGCGGTGGGCAAACCTCCCTTAAGTAAACCTCCCTTTAGCGAAAACGGCCTAGGACCAGGACCGAAACCCGCGGACCTGGACCCGCAGAAATGACGGCGCCGCGACGCCCTCTCGCGAACCGAAAACGGCCAATTCATTCATCGACATGTCAGGGTAGGAGGTCTATCAACCTCCGACCCACACCCACGGGCACAGGGGGCGCGGCTGAGGCGAAGCGCCACCGCCAGCCTCGTGGCGCGCTGCATTGTACGGAGGCTCCTCGCGCCTCCGCACCCCCGCGCATCTCCCCCTCAGCAGGCAGAAGGCCCGCGGGCCGGCGACGACTGCGGAAGGAGCGGCACCAAGTCGTTGTCGGCGTCGTTGTCATCGGCGTCGTTGGCATCGGCGTCGTCGTCGTCGTCGATGTCGTCGTTGGCGTCGGCGTCGTCGTTGGCGTCGGAGTCGGCATCGGCATCGGTGTCGGCGTGGGCGTCGGCGTCGGCGACGGCTTCAGCATCGGCGTCGTCGTCGTCGTCCGTCTCCTCCTTCTCCTCCTTCTCCTCCTTGTCACACACCCTCCCCATCGTCGCCCCTGCTTCTGACGGGGGGGCAATTCAAGGGAGGAGGAAGAGGAGGAGGAGGCGGAGGAGGCGGTGGTCAGGAAGGGGGGTAGAGGAAATCACGAGGAGAAGAGGAGCAAGAAGGTTCCGAATGGCTCCCAGCCCTGGCTGTAGGATTCCCGCGTTCCCAAATCTGGGACTCTGATGGGGGACCGAAACTGCACGAGGTCGGGCAAAGCTAGATAAACCCAAGCACCCGTTGGTCGCGTTGCGCACGGTTGGCAAGCTGAGACTGGACAGTGTAATGTATGCGGCCAGCGTGTGCAAGATTGACCACTACGATTATACAAGCTCGGACGCCTCGACACAAATACTAACACATTATGCATATCTTGATCAACGAGATTTCGGCAACGCCAACCACCACCCTCCAACCAGTCGAAACGAAGCCAGTTTTGCGTCCGCTTCACCTGCTCCTCCTCTTCCTCCTCCTCCTCCTCCTCCTCCTCCTCCTCCTCCTCCTCCTCCTCCTTCGTCCTCCTCCTCCTCCTCCTCCTCCTCCTCCTCCTTCCGCCTCTCCTCCTCCTCTCCTCCTCCTCCTCCTCCTCCTCCTCCTCCTCCTCCTTGCAAGTCGGAGAGGGACCATATCGACTCCCCCCCCCTGAAACTCGAGGGGGGGTCAGTTCGAACATTCGTCCCCCTGGAACTCGAAAGAGGGGGGGCGCACTCGAACCCCCCCCTCCCTGGAACTCGGGAGTGGGGAGGCGGAGCGGACCGGTTCGAACCGCCCAGCACCCGTGCACCTCAGGGGGGCCCGGTTCGACCCCCCCCCCCCGCCCAGCGTCCACAGAACGCGCTCTTTCGAATGTCTGAGTGCTGAACGCCGTTGTTTACCAGCCTCGAACGTATCCCTATCCCTAAGATTGACACGCCAAAAGGCGATGACAATCTTAGGGATTCGCCCTCAAAAAATAAGGGAACTCCTAAGATTGGCATCGTGATGAGGAGGTGCCCAGCACAGGAATAGGGATATGTTCCAGGCTGGTACGTTGTGCATCTGGACTGTGACGTCGCGATCTGCGCGGGAGTGCGTCCGAATCCCAGGGGCTTTCTGGGCGTAGGTGGTCAAGAGAGTTGTCTCTTCCAACCCCCTTCTTCCCCTTCGGGGAGGGGTCGATCACTGTTCCCTATTACTATGCACGCCCTGCCCCAGGCGACCAGCATCCAACCAGGAACAATGCCGACCCTATGCTCCCCACCCCACAGCCATCCCAGTCCAAAAACTATACAACACATACACTCTACCTCCAAATCCGGAGCCTGCGCAACCAACCCGACGCGGGTCCCCCACCCCGTCCCTGTCAAAAACAAGACGAGGTACAGGTTAGAGAGAGCACGTTTCACGGGCGCTTGCTTTGGGAACATTCGGCGGCGCGTTTCGAACCAGGGGGGAGGGGACCCCGAAACATTCGGCGCCGTCGATCAGAACCAGGGGGACTCCCATCCCCCCTAACCCTTTCCCTCCCCCCCTGGGGGGGGGTCCAACTCCCTCCCCTCTCCCCCCGGCCAGGGGTGGGGGGTCCAAACCACCACCACCCCGGCGCCCGCGCCGGCGCCAGCGCTGGCGGCGGCCAGCAGCGCCGACGGCGGGGACGCAGCGACGATGACCAGAGAGGGCCAAGAGGCCGCAGAGGGGAAACACAAATCGCCATATCGAGCCCTCGCCCCCCGAAAGCCACAGGGAGGCCCTTATGAAGGTCCACGAGGCTTCACAAAAACTCCTCCAACGTGCCCAGGACCCTTCTGACGAGACCAAAACACAGCGGCGGGAAGGCCCGAAGGCCACACAACCAACACCACAACCAGCACAAACCACCACACCACCACAACAAACCACCACACCGCCACCACCACCACCACAACCAACGCAATCCACCACCACCTCCATCACCACAAACCACTACACCACCACCACCACCACCACAACAAAAGCAACCACCACCACCACACCCCGCCACAACCCACCACAACCACCACCACCACAAACCAACACACCACCACCACCACCATCACCACCACCGCCACCACCACCACCACCACCACAACCCACCACCACCACCACAAATCAACCACCACAACCCCCACCACCACCGCCACCACCACCCACCTCCCAACACCAGCACCAGCACCAGCACCAGCACCACCACCAGCACCACCACAACCAACACCACACCCCACCAACACCAACACCACCAACACAACCACCACGCCACCACCACCACCGCCGCCACCACTACCACCACCACCACCACCACCACCACAGCCCACTACCACCACAAACTACCACAACAACCACCACCACCACCACAGCCTACCAACACCACCACACCACCACAACAACCCACCACCACCACCACCACAACAACAACCGGCCACCACGAGCACCACCACCACCACAATCCACCACAACACCACCACCACCGCCACAACCACCACCATCACCACCACCACAACCCACCACCACCACCACCACCACCACAAACCACCACACCGCACCACAAGCCACAAACCACCACACAACAACTACCACACCGCCACCACAAAGCACCACCACCACCGCCACCACCGCAACAACCACCACCTCACCACCACCACAAGCTACCACCACCACCACCACCAACACCGCCGCCCGCCGGCGCCAGCGCCGGCACCGGCGGCGGCGCCGACGGCGGGGACGCAGCGACGATGACCAGAGAGGGCCAAGAGGCCGCAGAGGGCAAACACAAATCGCCATATCGAGCCCTCGCCCCCCGAAAGCCACAGAGAGGCCCTTAGGAAGGTCCAAGAGGCTTCACCAATGCTCCTCAGACGCTCCCGAGACCCTCCTGACGAGACCTCAAGAAGTATCCATTAGAACTCTGACCCGAAGCAACAACACGGTGGTGGGAACGCCCGAAGACCACACCACCACCACCACCACCACAGAACACCACACCACCACACCGCCAACGCCACCACCACCACCACAACCACCACAGCCCACCACCACCACCACCACAACCCCCACCATCACCACAAACTACACCACAACCACAACAAACGCCACCACCACCACCACAACCCACCACAACCCACCACAACCACCACCACCACAACAACCCACCACAAACCACCACCACCACTATGGACACCACTGCCACCACCACCACCACAACCCACAACCACCACCACCACCACCACCACCACAAACCACCACACCGCCACCACAACCACCACCAACACCACAGACACCACCACCACCACACACCACCCAACACGACCACCAGCACCACCACCACCAGCACCACCACCACCACCAACACCACAGCCGACCGCCACAACCACCATCACAAACCACCAGCACCACCACCACCAGCACCACCACCACCACCAACACCACAGCCGACCGCCACAACCACCATCACAAACCACCACGCCACCACCACCACCACCGCCACCACCACTACCACCACCACTACAACCACAAACTACCACCACCACCACCACAGCCACCACCACAACACCACCACAACAACCCACCACCGCCACCACCACAACAACCCAACCAAAACTATCACCACCACCACCACCACAATCCACCACCACTTCCACTGCCCACCACCACCACCACAACTACCACCATCACCACAAACAGCTACACAACCACCACCACCACAAACTCCACCACCACCAACACCACCACAAACCAACACCACAAACCACAAACCACCACACAACAACCACCACCACCACAAACCACCACACCACCACCGCAACAACAACCACCACCCCACTTCCACCACACCACAAACCACCACACCACCACAACACCACCATCACCACAAAACACTACCACCACCACAACTACCACCACCAACAGAAACCACCATACCACCACCACCACCACCACCACCGCCGCCACCACCACCACCAGCACAGCCTGCCACCACAACCACCACAACAACAACAACAACAACAACAACAACAACAACAACAACAACAACAACAGCACCACCAGCAACAGCAACCACCACCGCACCATGACTTTCACCACTACCGCCACAACCACCATGACCACCACCGTCACCACCACCACCACCACCACATTCCACCACCACCACCACCACCTCAGAGAGGCCCCAAGAGACGCCCAAGATGCGCCCAGGAGGCTTCACAAATGCCCTTCAGGGGCCCCCGAGAGCCCACCGACGAGACCCCAAGAGGCATCCATCAGGACTCTGACCCAAAACCAAGGCACGGTGGCGGAGCGTCGCCGTCGTCATCGTCGTCGCCGTCGCCCTCGTCGACGCTCCCCGCCGCCGCCGCCAGCCGCCGCAGACGCTGGCGCCGGCCCAGAAAAGGAAGTTGTCGTCACCATCGATGCTCCCCGCCGCCGACGCCAGCCGCCGCTGACGCCAGCGCTGGCCTGAGGAGAAGCAGGGGAGGAGGGAGGGAAGAGGAGAGGGGAAGAGGGGGGTTCGAACCCCCCACATCCGTCACGGGAGGAAGGGAGAGGGGGTTCGAACCCCCCCCACACCTTCAATCCAAGCGGGGAGGGGGGGTCCGGTTCCAAACCCCCCCCTCTCCAAGCGCCAACAGGACGCGCTCTTTCACAGGTTGGGGCGAAGCCTTGAGTCATGTTCGTGAGGCCCGCGGGCACTTTGTATTGTTGTTCGACAGGGACGGCGGG